TAACCTTCTGTCCTAGATGAGAAAGTTATTTTTCTGTGGCTAGTTTGAGTGGATTTGCAAAGGTGAGGTAGATTGTTCTTTCACTAACTTGCTCACTTTTTACCTGACACTACATTGTTCCAAATGTTCCCCACTGTAGATTCTAGAGCAGGTGTTTAAAGACAAGACTGAAACAAATCTATAGGAAACTGTTTGAAAATATTCTAATTATTGACTTAGCAGCATTTACTGTAAATAATTCATAGATCAGTTGTCTATATTCTTTTTAATAATCACCACTTATAAAAGCAATTTCTTTTTATGTCTGAATCACATGCTTTCCAATCCATGTGTTTTAGGTTTAATAGTTATAGTCTGAGCCATTTCCTGTTTTTCTGCTGTTATTCTGCCAGGAGTAGAAACTGGCTGGTCAGCCATTTTTAAAGACCTTACAAGTAGTATAGTACTATTAATTGTGAACAGAATTTCTAGTGATTGTTTTGTCTTTCAATTTTGAAATGTTGCTTAAAATGGGATTCACTAAGAAGTCCAAATGAATAATCTGAAAACTAGAATAAAGTAGATGAGAGCAAAGAAGCCTGATCTTTGTCATTCAAGTATTCTTTTAACCTCTGAAATGCCTGTTTCTTTGTTAGTATTATTAAACTTAAGAATTTTTACTTCTCTGGCAGCCTCAAGTTCAATAGCTTTTGTTATAGTGAATGTGCAGAATTTGTGGTTGCTCTTTCCTTTATGTAGTAACCACACCTGGTGTTAATAGTAGACTACAGTAGATGAGAACACAGCCATCTTCCACCTATTTTTTCTATGCACAGAAGAGTAAAAATGTACAGCAGTAACCTGTATCATATAATAATTGAGCTACATTATTATTAATAAGTTGGCAGTTTGACAAGAACTAACAAATCAGCAAATCAAAAAAGCACAAATAAAAACAAAACATTATTTAAACAAGCCAAAATAATAGTATAATGATGAAGCAGATTATTTGACTATACAAGCCAGTGGAATACATGAAAGTTCACTAGAGGTCTTCAAATAAGTTGGATAATCATCTCTCAGAGATGTTTACTGTCTTATTCTCCAACCATGGGGTTAGATTAGATAGCTTCTAAGGAACATTCTAATTCTATAATTCTGTAAGACTAATATCAAAATAAAGACCGAATCAATTTAGTAGGAATAGAACAACCCTGACTTCCCTCACAAGAAATGTCATAAATGAAAGACTTGCTTCATTCTTTTTTTTAAAAAAAAAAAACTTGCTTTACAGTAGATGGATGTTGAGGGTTTCTTAAACTGCACTTTAATAATCCAAGCTTTAAAAAAAAAAATTAATATCCAGCAGAAGAGCTTGCAAAAGCTTTCTAAACTTTGTGTTTGTATGTATTCAAGGATATTCTCATATCAAATAACCTGAGTTCATATTAGCCAAAGGATGATCACATATTACTGAAATATGCCTCGCCTGAGAACCGTGTTTCTTTAGCCTACACTGCTGCACAAGTAGAGATTTAGCTAGTCATAGAATTCTATTGCGTATGATGCTTTCAGGCTGTTTATCTAGGTACTCTTTTATGAGTGGATATATAAACTCTTCAGTTGAATTGCTCAAATGATTTTCCAATCATTTAACAACCTGGAGTATGTAAAAAAAAAAAATATTCAAAGAATTGCACATAGTATAATTGTCTTAAATTTTTAAGACAAGGGATATCACCATTTTAAGTTTAAAACTTAAAACCATTTTAAGTTTAAAACTTAAAATGGTGATATCCCTTGTCTTAAAAATCACTTCAGCAAATATACTGAAGTAGAATTCTATAAAAAAGAATGATAGGTTAATTGCATTCTGTAGATCTCACCCCTGGCTGCAATTCAAAACATATCCTCATGGAACAAATTTGGATGATTTGGCAGGAGAGGAGGAAATTCTGTTGTATTTTGTGTGACATTTCATTTGTCCACCATTTTGAAAGATAAACTTTTAGTTTGAGAAAAGCATTGTATTATCTGTTTGAACTCAACAAATAGAAGCATAATATCCAATGTGTTGTTTTCCTAAAAATAGTATATGACATCACAGGGATATTGTATTTTATAAGCTACAATCATAATTCTTATGGAACAGTTTCAATTAATGTGCACGCATGTATGTTATTTTAGTATCCCACTGTTTAGTTATTTGGTCTAGGTGTCTACCTTTCATGTTCCTTTTTTTGATTGTTGACCTTTTGATTTTTAAACTGAGTTGAATAATTTACATTGCTTTGAATTTACAGTTTCCTAACTGAAATAGGGACTCACTTATATTGACGATTCATATTTTATCATATCATTTAAAAATAAATACCTTAAAATTGTATCTGTTCTTTCTTTTTATCTGTCCTAAGGTATTGATCTGATTCATACTTGTTTGTATTCATAAAGTAAAATTATTCATCTTTAATCAATGTATAAAACAGCAATAATAAACCTGCAGCAGATTTATTAACCCGTCTTAACTATTTTAGCCCCTAAATTGTTTTAGAAGTTTTTTCTGCCAAAAGAGAAGAATAAAGTTCTTTAAGCAAATAGACCTGATTAATGTTTATCCTTTTGGCTTAGTACAGATGCTAAATATCTTAACTATAGTTTAGGAGTTCCACATGATTCTGCTATACCTCTTCTTCCACTTTCAATAAAATTATTCTTTTTTCACAACGGTAGTTTCATATCCCAGTTTAATTCTAGTTATTGTGAAGTTCTTTAAGACTATAACATTATAATTAGCAGTAGAATGCTGCATTGAATGTGAACAGGAACATTTAAATGCAGATTCTTTTTAAAATTACTCTCTGCCTGTTAATCAGAATAATCATCCCATTTCTATGGTAGCCTTATTTTGTTTCAAGGATTCCAAAATGCTGCATGTTAAGATATTAGTAATTAAATGTCAGTATTAAATGTATTCTGTATGAAGGTATTTTTAAATGCAACTTTAAATGGGAGGGAGGGGAAGTGGAATTTATTCCTGAAAATACAGGTAGTCCTTGATTTGCGACCACAATTTAGCCCAAGAGTTATGTTGCTAAATGAGATGTTTGTTAAGTGAGTTTTGCCCATTTTGTGACCTTTTTGCCACAATTAAGTGAATCACTGCATTTTTGAATTAGTAACATGGTTGTTAAGTGAAACCGGTTTCCCCATTGACTTTGCTTGTCAGATGGTCACAAAAGGGGATCACATGATCCCGGGACACTACAACTGTCATTAATATGAGTCAGTTGCCAACTGTCTGAATTTTGATCACGTGGCTATGGGGATCTACAATGGTCACAAGTGTGAAAAATGGTCATAAGTCACTTTTTCAGTAACGTAACTTTGGATGGTCACTAAATGAACTGTTGTAAGTCAAGGATTATGTGTATAATAAGCCTCATGGCTTACAGGCTTAAAATAAGTGACCAATAACTTGTCTGTAATGGATGTGTCGCCTGTTGAATCTGGTTCCTTAATTAGCTTGTTGCTGCACAAGATGATTGATCTATTTAATTTTTTAAAATTTAATTTAATAGTCTTTTTAACTTCTTGGCTATAGTATAACTTAGGAAGGATGTATTATGACAATCTCCTCCCTTTGTTTCTAAACTCCAATTACTACTACTGTAACAAATGAACTATTTGGAAATTTGACTTCTTTAAGGAATTTATTAGCATGGGGAAATTTTTCTCTCATTTTTAGTTGTAAGAAATAAAGGTTAATTACTGTTTTAGATTAGAAGCATATTGTGTCTTTCTCAGCATTTTTAAATTACTTTCCTTCCTCCATATGTAGAAAATTAAACAAAATGTTTATTCCTCACAAATTCATAGCTGTACATTTTGGTTTCAGTTTTGGTTGGAAAAGAATAATTGAAGAAATCAGTAGTTTAATTTTTTTCTTTATATCATAGACATTTTAGATGTCACTGTTAAGTTGATTTCCTGTTCATTTCTTTTCCCTTATAATGATAGCTTTGACCTGAAAAGCCACAAGCAGAAACTAAAAATGTAAATATTACTGTGTATAAGTTTGTGGGAAATCTTTCAAGAAAGCAGCACCTAACATTCTTATACTGTCAAAAACTCTACTCAGTGCAGGGCACAATTTCTGGAATTCTTTCCATACTCTGTATCAAATACACCTGTATTTTATTCTCTTTCTGTGTTTGTGTCTCCATCTTTGTTGCTGGCTTCCTTTTGCATTGCATCTAAGTGTTAGTTTATATGTGGGTACCGGTAAATGAAAAATAGGCTACATGTGCTCTGCTTTTGCCCAAGTGATGGATTAGGAAGGTTGTAGGGGGGTTAGATTGAAATATCTACTGGTCTTCTGGGCCACTGCCTGTCACACAATAACACAGTAGGAGTGAATTTGTTTGTTTTTTCAAATCTTCATTTTCTGGCTTGCACCAAGCTTAGTCCCATCGTGTTCAATTTTGGAGAGACTGAGAGTATGAAGCTCACTTTCATACTGTTACCAATAATACTGCATTGGTGCAGTTACTCAGAACTGAAATCTTGAAGATGTTTTTACCTTTAGACATATCACAAGAACACTAGAGATTTTTTTTATTTTAATTGGTGCTGCAAATATTTCCCATTTATAAAGTTGAAGAAAAATCTGTCTGGATTTTTTTCTTCTTCTGATAGAATCAATTTTAGGATTGGCAATTCACTGGTTAAAAATCCTGAAAAGTGAGGACAACCCTTTCTTGCAAAACAGAATAGTACGTACATATGTTGCTCCATGACTATTGATTTTCTCTTTTAAAATGACAACTGGGAATCTGGAAATTTCCTTTACTTGCTCTCTTGCTAATTGACAGAAATGCAATAGATGGATGAAGCAAACAAGGTGGGGTGGAGGATTAGGTAATTGTAAAATGAATAAGCAGATTAATATCAGTCCTTTGCAAATAACAATGGACCTGAATAAATGGGGAATCATTTTTATGTCTTTCTTCCATCTTTTTCAGAATTGCTGAGGAGCATTTTGGGGTGGATTACATATTGTGAAGAATTTGCTGAATGAACCAAGATATAACCATGCATAACAAGACTTAAGCAGCCTTTCCTTTTGTGACTTAGATATGCTGCTTTTCAGTAGTGCTTTAGTCTTTAAAATGGTCATAGCTGCATGTATTCTTTGATCCATTTCTGATGAATGTTACAACCATGAGTTTACATCGGCAAATGGGATCTGATAGGGACTTGCAATCTACTGCTTCCTCTGTAAGCTTGCCTTCAATTAAAAAGGCACCAAAGAAGAGAAGAATTTCACTGGGATCTTTTTTTCGAAAGAAAAGGGATATGAAACATAAAGCCAAGGATGTAAATGGTGGTGTCGATGGGATTGCAAGTATTGAAACTATACACTCAGAAATATGTCCAGACAAGAACTCTATTTTATCTGCCTATATGTCATCAGACAGTGGAACAGCCATCTGTAGTAAGCAGACGGGAGACTTCATAGAATGTCCCTTGTGCCTTTTGCGGCACTCTAAGGAGAGGTTTCCGGAAATAATGACTTGTCACCATAGATCTTGTGTGGATTGCTTGCGTCAGTATCTCCGGATAGAAATCTCAGAGAGCAGAGTTAATATCTGCTGTCCAGAATGCTCTGAGCGATTTAATCCCCATGACATTCGATTAATTTTAAATGATGACATCTTGATGGAAAAATATGAAGAGTTTATGCTTAGACGGTGGCTTGTCGCGGACCCCGATTGTAGGTGGTGCCCTGCTCCAGACTGTGGGTAAGTGATTCATTTTTGTACCCAGAGCTCTACTTTATCCCTTCTTGATTATTACATTGCTTGGGTATAATGTCTTGTTTACCAGAATGTTTTTATTTGGTACTGTATTTCAGGTTTTTGTTTCTTTTTACAAGTCAAAAATAATTTTCTGTGAATTTAATAGCAGAAAGAGTAGAGAATTGAGAAACAGATTCTACATCTCCTATCTTCTCAAATGTTATCACTTCACGCTGCAGAATATTAAAGGAGGTTGACAAGTTTTAATGCAGCCTCCAAAGTAGGTAGCTCTCCATGCATTATTATTAACTTGCTGCGTTCTGGAAGAAGGTATTTCTACGTTCAGCACATAGAAAGTGGTTTCCCTCTCCTGTATTTCATATCCGGGGGAGAGTTTTGTGAATATAAATTGTGGAAGTTGATATAATTGGCAACAAAAACTTTCATATTACAAGAACCAACTGTTAATTTTGAGTAAAATTTAAGAGAGCATAATCCACTTTTTGCTTAATGTCAGAAAAATGTATTTAAATATTAAACAGGGTTGCTACTCTTGTTGCTACTCCTTTAAATACTAAATAGTAAAGAAAATAATAAACTGTACATTTTGAGACTGAATAGGGCAATTTGGAAGCCTTTATAGCTTACATTCATATACCTGCTACCTACATTTTGTATAACACGTTTCTCTTCAGATAATCATACTTGTTTCAAAATATTGCAGATAACCGCAATTATGTGTTTCAATGATTTAAGTTTGGTTCCAGTGCCACATGTGAATTTATTAATTCATAGAATGTTATTCACATGCACACAACTATAAGAGAACTTGTTAATCTGTTCTAAAGTATTGTGGTTCCTTAATACTTTATTTTGATATAACATTTAACGCAAAATCCTGCTACTGCATATAAAATATAATTGCTAACACATTTCAGATAAAGACATTTATAAATCACATAATAATGTTGACTTGTTAGTATGTTGTACAATATAATATTTTCATAGAACTTTTGATTAAAGTTCAGTCAATAATAATACCAATTATGCCTATAGGAGAGAGACAGCAAATTTCTTTCTGAATTCTCAGTTTTTTATTTTATTTAGCATATGGCATCTACAGAGGTCGTGCAATCACTAATATACAAATATACTGGATTGTCAATGACAAGGCTGAAGTTGATTGCAGACAGTCCTTGATTTATAACTGGATTTATAACTGCAGCTGAAATCTGTTGCTTAGCAATCCATAAAGCACGACCACATTGCTTAGTGATAAGCACGTTCCTGAAGTCCTGGTTGCAGTTTTTCATTGAATCCCCTGGTTATTAGGTGAGGCAACTTCCAGCCAGCTTCCCACAAAAACAATGAGGAAGCTGACAGCAAGTCCCAGGCCCGCAAGTAGATAAATAGCTGCTGCTGACTGGGAGAAGGAGCATAGGGGTGCAAGGAGATGCACAAGTGATGCACTGCAATCAGGGAGAGGATGCAAGGTGAGAGGAAGGGTCAGGGTGGATGTGATGGGCTGCACAAGAGGCATGGCTTGAGTTAGTAAGATGTGAGGTGTACTAGAGACGTGAGACAAAGAGGATATAAGTGGATGAATGAGAGGCACCATGTAAGTTGGAGAAGGTGAATGCTTGTGTGAGAGGGTATGGTATGCAAGAGACATGCTTTGGTTGAGAGCGCATGAGAAGTGCTACATGAGTTGATGAAGGTGTGAGGAGAATGCAGGAGGTGCTGTATAGGCCAGAGTGGGTGCAAGGGAGGTGCAGTGAGAGTCAGAAAGGGTGTGTGAAGGAGTGCTTGGCTGGGACAAACAGGAAGGCTATGGGAGGGCATGTGGAAGGGAAGATTATCCCGGTGATTTTCTGGGGAAACTAGTAGGGTAAGTTGCAGGTTGTGATCATAGGACTATAAGGCCCTTGTCAACTGGTCACAAGTGCAAACAAGTTCCCAAGCATCCAGATTGCAATCTTGTGACTACTGGGAGGGGGGTCTGGGGGTTGAAATTCCAAGGACTGATTGTAGCCACCATTCATTCAGTACTTGTATCTTGGATGTGCATGGTATGTAACTTCAAGAACAGGTTGTAAGGTTTTTTCTGAGCCCATCATAACTTCAGTCGTTAAGCGAGGAGGATTCTCTTATATTTCAATTTATTTTATTTGAAACAATAGTTTCAATCTTGCAGAATAGCACAATGATGTCTATTACTCAAAGTTTGCTGAATTCTACTGTAGGGGTTCATACCTAAAATAGCAATAGCACTTAAACTTGTATACCGCTTCACAGTGTTTTACAGCCCTCTCTAAGCAGTTTATAGTGTCATCATATTACAATCTGGGTTCCCAAAATACATCCTATGAGATTAACTAGAGTTCTATAAATGTTAATTATGTTTCTATTTTTATAATGGATGATGTTTCATAATAGCAACTCAGGTATTTAAATTGGCACTATATAAAACTGAAAAAGTCTCAGCATATGACAATACCTGGTCGACTCAGGCTGTTTTCAGTAAAGTTAAAAAGAAAAGTTAATACTTTCAGTAAAGCTAATACTTTGATAAGAGACTACAAAATAAATAAATAAATCCAGGCTTAGAGAAAACTAGGAATTGGGGGGTGGGAGGGTGGGAATCTTAGAAGAAGGCAGTTCCTGACTATTTCTACATTTTTGCCAAGAAAACATGGATCTATCCACATATTTGGCAGACATTTAGAATAACTTGAGGGAGGCTTTATCTTAGTACAGTGAATAAATACTCTTCCATCTATTTTTGAATATTTAAGGTATGCAGTCATTGCTTTTGGATGTGCAAGCTGTCCAAAACTTATGTGTGGGCGTGAAGGCTGTGGAACTGAATTTTGCTACCACTGTAAGCAGATTTGGCATCCTAACCAGACTTGTGATGCTGCTCGTCACGAAAGAGCACAAAGTCTACGTTTACGAACAATTCGTTCTTCATCCATTAGCTATAGTCAGGAGTCTGGAGCTGCAGGTATTTATTATTTTAATCTAAATGTTAGAAATATATTTTTACATTATATCTTGACTTGCTAGTTTACCCATCAGTTAGTGATCCTGAAAAAAGGAAGATATGAATCTTTTCTTCAGTACGTTGATATTAAGGCAAAATTGTACAGTTGTGCAGAACATACTGAAACAATGTGCTGCTAGTATTTGGCATGGTGGATATAATTAGCTTATGCAATCAGTGAAAAGAAGATCTGACTACTGATAGAACTTTTGGTTTGAAATGTCTAGTAACAGACCACACACTGGCTGAGTTCAGATGTTAGGGAAAAAACTGTGTTTGCTTAGTTTTTGACTTATCATGTTGCTCAGATACAGCATGAAGGTTTATAATACATCCTTTCTGATTCAAAACAAGATTGCACCTCTAAATTTTGCATAGCATATTAGTAATCATATTCAGAAGGTGGAGCAAGACAAAGATTCTACTTGAGAGAAGGTTTTGAGCCTTAAAATGCGTGCCTTAAATATCTGGAAGGCTTAAGGCATTAGCTTGGTCCTTCAAATGCCAGAAGCTGAAAAGAAAACCACTTTATAGTGGAGGAATATGGACATCAGGCCATTCTTTTTTCACTCTTCCATTTATTATGTCATGTGAACCTAGAAAATTATGGTTTCTTAATGTCCAAACTTAATTTTTTTGTTCCGGGAAAGAGTAGTATAAACTATAAGAATATTGATTTAACTGGAATTTGAAGAGATAGAGTCTCTCATATCTGAGATAGGGAACCACTGCCATGCAGGCTTCTAATCTAGGCCCTTGATCTGTTTATACTCCCGCCTCTTCTAACATGAAAAGAGGGAGTAGCTACTTTGTATATAACTCAGCAAATGTTCCTTATGAAGAAAAAGGAAATAAGCCGCTGAGGGTATCTTTTGCCTATGAAGAAAATAAGTACTCTGAAAGATGGGAAATAATCTGAACAGAAAAGAATTCTTTTCCTTCTAAAATCGCTATTAGTTGATATCATATGGCTTGATTAAATATAGAATGGGAAGCATTTTTTATTGTTTTTAAAAAGGGTTTTTTATGCTTGCACTCTCATTTTGCAACTTGAGCTATATTATCTATGATAGTATGCATTTGATGCTTTTAAATTGTATATTGAAAAAAATCTCGTCAGAATAGTTTTGGATTAAATGATTATTATTTTAAAGCAGGATAATTTGTAAAGTTCTATTTAATGTTTATGTTAGAGTTTTACTTAGGTATACTTAATTATCTTTCTGTACTGGGTTTGTTGGATCTCAGATGTAATATACTTCTTAATTTTTATTTTTCTTGGGAGCAATATTGCTATTGTACTTCTTTATTTTAAACAGCTGATGACATAAAGCCATGCCCCCGCTGTGCTGCTTATATCATAAAGATGAACGATGGAAGTTGCAATCACATGACATGTGCTGTCTGTGGTTGTGAATTCTGTTGGTTGTGTATGAAGGAGATCTCAGACTTGCATTACTTAAGGTATGTATGGGAAATAGTAGGAAATAAAAATGTTTTTTTTTTCTGGTAACAGAAGCTTTAATATGCTTTTTATCCCAATTTGTAATAGAAGCTATGCTAGGCTATTTCAAACTGCTATTTTTCTGAAGTTAGGTAAAGCATTTATTTAGAAAACTTTCATGGCTGTCCATTTTAACACATAACTCCACACAGCTAACAATCAATTTACAGCTTTCTTCCCATAGCAACCCTATTACTAAGGTTAAAACAATTCAGTGCCAAGAAAAAGAAAAACAGAGGCAGCACATTTATTTAAAACATTTATATAGTTGTCCATCTTATATCAGACTGACAGAAAGATACATGTATATTGGGTTCTTCTAATATCCTCTCCCTGGACGGGAGAAAAGCCAAGTTTTAACAGCTTGCAGGAAGGTGCAAAAGGGCAGGGCCCTCTGAATCGCTTAATCTGTTTTGCATGGGCATTTAGTAAAATGAAGTATGGTGGTTTTGAGGATTTTGTGTGTATTAAAGCAGGGTTTGCCAATCTTTTGGACCTCAGGGACCATCAAACTCATAATTTTAGATCCCAGGGACTACTAACCAGTTCTGTGGGCATGGCCTAATTTGTGGGTGTGGCTTGGTGGTCATGTGACTGGCTGGGCATGGCTTGTATGTAAATATTATAAATATTTATATAACTATTGATTTTTTTTATTAAAAAAAGAGAAACTTTTACCCAAAATCAGGCCAAGCAGGCAGACAGATTGAGTTGCTCACAGAATCACAGATTCATTCAGAAATCTATCTATCTGCCATTGGCTAGCTCAGTCTGTCACATAAAATTTGCTTGCAAGCAAACTCATAAAATTTGCTAGCAAGCAAACTCACAAAATTAACTCACAACACACCATGAATGTAAATATTGAATTTTTTATTTAAAAAAAGAGCAACTTTTACCCAAAATCAGGCAAAGCAGGCAGGCAGATTGAGTTGCTCACAGAATCACAGATTCATTCAGAGATCTATCTGCCATCGGATAGTTCAGTCTCTCAAATTTGCTTGCCATGAGTCTTCACTGAATTTTCTTGCAAGCAAACCTTCAGTCCTAAGGGAGGTCAGCTGTGCTGAGCCGAAGATCTAAAGACTAGCTAGAATGCAAGAAATCCAACCATTTCCTGATTCCAAGCTAATCTAAATCTCCCGGCATAGCAGAACAGATGATGGTCGGAAAAAGGAAAAATAGCAATTTAGCAGGCAAGTTTACTGGGTAAGGAGTGAGTGGGCAGGGAGGGTTCCCGTGGGCCGTGTGGGCGGTGTAGCCTTGTGTTTCTGCACAGCCTGGATTAATTGCTTTGTGGGGATGCTCTGGGGGTGAGATTTCTCTGCGGCCCACCAAAATTTTCTCACGGCCTATCAGTGGGCTGCGGCCAACCGGTTGGTGACCACTGTATTAAAGTGCTGTGTAGTATGATGAGCAAATGCAGAAAGACCCATCTATTTATAGCAAAACTACACAAATCACTTCCTGCAGGGGAATACTGTATGTCACAATACTTTCTTTTGAATTCCTGTTCCGCATTTTCAGAGAAATCTTTTGAAAATTAGTTCTTGTTAACAGACTACGGCAATGTTGAGATTGTGGAGTAGAGCCAGTTTGGTCTAGTGGCTGAGCCAGAGGAATAGAAACTGAGGAAATGACCTATGTTTCTGTCTTAGGCTCAAAGCTAGCTGGATGACCTTGAGCCAGTCATTCATTCTCAGCCTTAAGAAGAAGGCAATGGCAAACCACTTCCAGAAATTGTACCTGAAAAACTGCAAGAACTTGTCCAGGCGATTGCCAGAAGTAAACACTGACCCAGGACCTTTCTCCTCACCCTACCTACCTCCTCCCCCAGCAAGCAGTGTTAGAAATCTTGAGGATTAGTTGAGAACATGCTACTTGTTTGTTGGTTAAATTTCAGAAGAATCAAATCTCAACTAACTATCCAGGTTTAAAGAGATTTTTATTTAGTTAGGTTGCAAACCAGCCTGCCTAATATTGGGCAAGAGTGTTGTAAATTATAATCCCTGTGTATTTGGGCACCAGATAGAGGAAGGCTGGTGAGACTAAGAAATGTACCGTTGGGCTGAATTTTGGAACTGGTGTACCTATTTAAAATGCTATTTGCTGAGAATGTATATATCAAGATGATATTGGATATTCACATATTAGCATGTGGGTTAGTAATAGTCTAAGTTAAAGGATTGATGACTGAAGATGGTTAATCTTATATATGGAAAATTCTCAGTCCATCAGGTTGTACATTCTGGGGAAAAAAACCATGGAGTCGGAAGAAGAAAATTCTTTGGCAACTTGGGACACTTGTAGGTGCACCAGTAGGAATTGCCTTAATAGCAGGCATTGCTATTCCAGCAATGATTATTGGAATTCCTGTATATGTGGGACGTAAGGTAAGATAACTGAATTGCTTTTGAAATTTACATGTTTTTCCATTTGTCAAACTTGCTCGTTATTCTGTTATAGCAGGGGTGTCAAACTCAAGGTCTGCAGCCCAGATGTGGCCCACGATGTGGTCAGATCTGACTGTCCTGGTCTACCCAATGCCAAGAGGAAAGATAGGGCCTGCCTGGCTTTGGCCTGGTCTACCCAATGCCAAGAGGAAACATGCCAGCAGTTTGGGGAGTGGTGTCAAACTAGCCACGCCCACCCAATTGACCACACCCACCCAGTCTTCCCCATCCCCCAAGATCAACTGCAGCCCTGATGCGTCCCTCAATGAAATTGAGTTTGACACCCCCTGGTCTATCATATCCAGATGAAATTTTATTGAGGCCCCCAACATTATGAAATATGAAAGGTATTTATCATGGATGAATTCTTTTCCAGTGATAGTTCCAAAAGTTGCTGTTTCTTATCTAGGGAGGCTTATCATACCATCTCATTGCCCTTCTGATAACATGCGTTTTTAAAATTTTAATGAGATTCACTTTATGACTATGCTGTGACATAACTTCATAGCTTAGCATTAAAAAAAAGAATTTCTTGCAGTAAAAACTGTAGAAATCTTAATTTGTCAATTTTCATGAAAGACCAAGTGACTTCCTTATCTACCAATACAAAATGATTCCCATAAAGTTCTCTCTGGTCACAAAATGTTTTCAATCAGGGTCTTCTTAGTCCTCTTTCTTTTCCCACAAAGAAAAGTGATTTCCCAAGTAATTAGTGATAAAGATGGGATTTGAACACAAATAACATGCATGGCATAGTGTTTCATAACTATAATCAAAGAAGACAATTTACATCTATGGATTCAAATTTCTAGCTTGGGACAGAAATCCAAATTAAAGGAATTTACCATCCATTTCTGACCAGTGATTCTAGTATTGTTGGGAAACTGCCAGCAGGCAACGAGGAGAGACCAAGCAGGGAATTAGCCTTGAGTCAAGAGACCTAGAGAGAAGAGCCTAACCAAAGACTGAAAACCAAGCTAGCAGAGGAAAGGTTTAAAACAGCAAAGGAAAAGAAATTCAAAACAGATTTTTTTTTCATTGCTTTGTTTACTCATCTTGTTTGATTATATCAATGGAATCTTTAAATGCATTAATTTAAAATGGCAGGTAAACAGATAAAGATAATATTGATCACTCCTGTATATCATTTCTTCTACCAGTTATTAAATGGAATTTGCTCTAAAATATCTTCCTTTTTCCTCTTTCTTATAAAGATTCATAATCGCTATGAAGGCAAAGACATGTCAAAGCATAAGAGGAACTTAGCCATTGCAGGTGGTGTAACCTTATCTGTAATTGTTTCACCAGTTGTAGCTGCAGTCACTGTGGGTAAGTATAGAGTTTCTGATGAAGTCTAAGAATATCTGTTTTTTCTTGAGTACACTACATTTACATTAAGACCATTATATTTTACTAAAAAATTACTAAAACAATATTATTGACAAGTAACCCAGGACTAGCAGTGAGACTATGTTTTAAAGTTTGTGTTTGAATAGTTTGAAAAATGGAATTCTTCCTCCAAAGTTTGCTTGTTTATTGAATGATATTTGCCAGTCCCCACTATCAGCTGACACTTTGGCTGGATAAGCAACCAGCAATAAATACCAGAGCAAAAGCAAAATCCTATGGTCACTCACCATTAATAAGAACAAAAACCACAGCAGAATAAAATGGCTCCTTGTAGAATGCAAGGGGTGAAAAACCCAATTATGACTGTGCAGGGGGAAGATGTTCCAAAATTGTGGAGAATTCCAGAAAGGGTCCACATGGGTGGTGGACACTTAACTGGATCTCCCCAGAAGTTCAGACCAGACAAGCAGAATTCATTTTAGCAAGATAATGGCTAGCATCCCAGTGCTCTGTTCTGTAGGGCTAAAAGTTACCCCATAATAGCAGGGTTGTTTTACTAGCATTCTGGCTTCTGTATTATATGCACTTCTAAAGGTAGCTTTCCACTTGAATGGTGATTGGGGTATTAATTACCATCGCCAAGTCTACTTGCAGGAACTTCAATTCATCCTAACAGCCTCTAATTATTGATTTAGGATTTCTGTGGCATCTCCATCTGCATACTGACTATGCCACATCCAAAATTGATGAATTTTAGTAGTTTCATATAGATATTAAATAATTTGGGGGTAGAGCACATAGTACCTCGCACTACTGATCAAGAACATTCTCCCTCATGACTGCCATTTGAAACTGTCCAGAGGTAACAGATAATAACAGATAACAAATAATCAGAGTTGGAAGGGACCTTGTAGGTCATCTAGTCCAACCCCCTGCCCAAGCGGGAGACCCTACACCATTTCTGACAAATGACAGTCCAATCTCTTCTTGAAAGTCTCAAGTGATGGCGCTCCCACAACTTCCGAGAGCAAGCTGTTCCATTGGTTGATTGTTCTCACTGTCAGAAAGTTTCTCCTTATTTCCAGGTTGAATCTCTCCTTGTTCAGTTTCCATCCATTATTCCTTGTCTGGCCTACAGGCGCTTTAGAAAATAGCTTGACCCCTTCCTGTGGCAGCCCCTCAAATACTGCAAGACCGCTATAATATCTCCCCTGGTCCTTCTCTTTACTAGACTAGCCATGCCCAGCTCCTGCAACATTTCATTGTAAGTTTTAGCCTCCAGTCCCCTAACCATCCTGTTCTCTGTACTTTTTATAGAGTCTCAACATCTTTTTATAGTGTGGTGACCAAAACTGGATGCAGTACACTAGGTGTGGTCTTACTAAGGCTTTATAGAGTGGTATTAGTACTTCCTTTGGTCTTGATCGTATCCCTCTGTTAATGCAATTTAGGATTGCATTAGCTTTTTTGGCTGCTGCTGCACACTGCTGGCTCACATTTAGCTGGTTGTCCACTAAGATCCCTCTCACACATACTGCTGTTGAGCCTGGTTTCACCCAGTCTATATGTGTACTTTTGGTTTTTCTTGCCTAAGTGTAGAACTTTACTTTTCTCTACATTGAATTTCATTTTGTTAGATACGGCCCAGTGTTCTAGTCTGTCAAGATCCATCTGGATCTTGAGCCTATCTTCTTGGGTGTTAGCTATTCCTGCCATCTTAGTATCATCTGCACATTTGGTAAGTTCCCCTTCTATTCCCTCACCTAAGTCGTGATATTCAGCAGGTTCTGACAGGTTCTGGAGAACCAGTAGCGAAAAATTTGAGTAATTGGGAGAACCGGCATATACCACCTCTGACTGCCCCCCCTCCCCATTCTCTGCCTCGCGATTCCCAGCTGATTGGCTGAGTCTTCTTTTGTTGCCCTACACAGGAGAAGAGGGCTGGAAAGCAAGTTAGTGGGCTGGGGGGAAGGAAATGGGATTTTGCAGTAACCTTCCCCTGCCATGCCCACCCAGCACACCACGCCTACCAAGCCACACCCACAGAACCGGTAGTAAAAAAATTTGAATCCCACCACTGAAACTGTCCACGTTGATAGGAGTGGAACCACTAAAAATAGTACTCAACTCTTATAGGTGATCTAGAAGGAAACTAAATAGTGTTAAATGCTTCTGAAGAATCTATTAGTAACATGGAGGAAGGGAGCAACCCTAATTAAGGTCCTAACAGAGATATTCTCCTAGTGTGACTGATACCATTTTTGTCTCGTGCCTGAATCTGCCTGGAATAAAACTGTTTCCCCGAGAATCTTTTGTAATTGATTCCCCACCAGCTTGTCAAAAACTTACCTCAAAAGGGAAGTCTGGAGACAATGCAAAGTCTTCTCCAAGAGACAGTGGTACCAGGCAGTATAATATCTAAGTAGCATTAACTATCTCTTGAATCCAGCAAATCCAGAATCTTCTTGAGGGAGACGGCCAGTCACGAAAGCTTTAACAAACAAACCTTTAAGACACCCTGCATGGCAGCTTGAAGAAGCCAGGAGGACCATGGTTATTTCAGAACCCACTCTACAGGAAACTTTTCCACTTAATCATGTTCCACAAGATCAAATCCTAAGGAATTACTTTGCTCATCTTAGAAGACTCTGCCCAGTGGGATCAAAACCAGCGAGGGCATAAGCTACTTCATCTGCAATGAAACCTGTAAATTAATCCCAGGAGTCTTCAGGCATTTTGCTCCACCCATCCTTCCCAAGAAGGATCTGGGTAATTATGAATAAAATCTCTAAGCAAGAATTTATGGCCATAATAAATATAGAAAAGAATCTCTGTCATCCCTCTCTAGGTTTGGACGTGAGTTCTTACCGCTTAACTGCTTCCACTTTGGATTGTGTTCAGTCATACTAGGTGCCTTTTCAATCACTTTATTTTCCCTCAGGAAATCATTAAAGCAAGGAAGTGCTTGAGATGGAAAAATGAAGATATAAGTTCAATGTTATCTAGCAATGTGGGTGTCTCTATATTTCAGAAATTATGAGGCGTGAGGTAGAACTGCCCACTAAATTGTCAGGGAGATAATGTCCCCTTTGGAAACTTTCTGGATCCCGAAAGTTTGCTAAATGGTGAAGTTAAGAAATACACAGTGATCACTAAAAAAAAAAAAGGACAGGTGTGCTAATCACAGTATTATATTTTGTTTTCCTATAGGTATTGGAGTCCCTATTATGCTGGCCTACGTGTATGGAGTAGTTCCCATTTCTCTCTGTCGAAGTGGAGGTTGTGGAGTATCAGCTGGCAATGGGAAGGGTGTCAGAATAGAATTTGATGATGAAAATGATATAACTGTGAGTGGAGCAAATGCAGCAGCAGGTAAAAAAGAAGATCTTTATTTATCATATTTGTCTGGCTGCCTGTCCACGAAAGCATTTTGGAGAAGTGTTATAGAGGCCTTTTTGGACAGGTGTAGAAAACAAATATAGTCAATATCCAGATATGTTTTTTATTTGCAGTGTGTGCTATGTTCTGTAGTGATTTGTATAATCCTACACTTCTCAGAAAAAATCAATTCGTAGCAGCCTTAAAGGATGCCTTCCTTTATTGAGGATATCTTAATCTTTCTCTGTATTAACTTATCAGGGAAATTAATAGATAAAATCATTTTCTAGATTCTGTTTCTTCTCTTAACGCTCTAATGCCATTGATTCAATGTTAGTGTCACTTGCCCTGCTTGGGATTTTGAATTGGTAACTTTTGATTGAAAATGGGAGATAAAATGACATTCACTAGTGAAATGTTACTTTCCTGACAAAATAAAACTGGTCCAAACTGTAATCTAGTTTGAGAACAACTTTATTATTTCCCAATACTAATTCTGGAATAACAATAGAATTAAAAACTATTAAGGGTCATTATGTTGTAGTTGGTATTCTTTTTCAAGAGAAAATTTGATTCTTTTTAGGAAATTATTTTATACAATTTCCTCATCATATTAGCCTAGGCCTACAATCAAAAGATGACAGCGTTTTCTTTTACTGGCATAATTGTATCAATCTAAGACCAACATCTCCATATCAGTTCTTGAAGAATTGGAAAAACTCTACAGTTTTTATTACTGGAGCTTCCATAAAAGCAAAGCCTTCTATAATATGAAACTTTAATAAAAGATATATTCCCTCTTCTGTTTTAGACACTACATCAGTAGCAGAGGCACGTCACAATCCTAGCATAGGGGAAGAAAGTGTTGGACTGACTGGAAGCCTAAGTGCAAGTGGCAGCCATATGGACAGAATAGGAGTCATTCGAGACAATCTGAGTGAGACAGCCAGCACTATGGCCTTGGCTGGAGCTAGCATCACAGGAAGTCTGTCAGGAAGTGCAATGGTCAACTGCTTCAACCGGTAAGATAATGCATTCCAAGTGTTCAACTCTAATTGACTATTTGTTACATAAACTGTAATTAACAGTGGAATAATATGTTTTAGCTGATTGTTGTAAATTATAATATCTACCTTTTGAATACTTGTGGACACACTCTGAAAACAGTGATTAAATTTTAGTTGGATAAAAGAAGAATTCCAATTCCAATAATGGCGGTATGTATGGAGAGATAGGAATTCTAGCAGATATGGCTTTTATTTTTAGGATTATAGTTTAGGGCAGAGTTCCCCAACCTTTTCAGCTTTCTGAACTGGTGGAGGGGATAGAGGGGATGGTTCCATGTGTGCAGTGGGCACACGCGCCACCGCACATGCACATTCTTGTTCGCTGCTTGCACGTATGCTCTCACCCGCCACTTCTGCGGCCTGGTTCCTTGCCATAGCCTGGGGGGTTGGGAATCCCCAATTTAAGAAAAACACTCTTGCATGAAAACGAGATTGTTGTAAATGGAAAAACTTGTGATATGTTACCACACCAGAAATTAACTGCTTGTATTATTTGAAAGGAAACAATTTAATTCTGGCTATTTCTCATATGTAATTTTTTTTTAGGATTTACCATTATAATATATTAAGGAATATTTTACTTAATTTGCTGTGAGAATTCTTCACTAGGTGCTGGTAAACATGTAAAATATTTCAATATATATCAACGTTGAAAAATGCAAGTTTATTGAGCTAATACTGAATTTTCACTCAGGTTGGAAGTCCAAGCAGATGTGCAGAAGGAGAGATGCAGTTTGAGTGGTGAATCTGGCAGTGTTAGCTTGGGAACAGTGAGTGACAATGCCAGCACCAAAGCAATGGCTGGGTCCATTATAAATTCCTATGTCCCATTGGACAGGTAAGTTTGAACTATGTTGATAAAATCAATATTTATATGCTGTGCAAGAAATCTCTGGTATGATTATTAATTGATTATGCACTATCAAGTAGATGTTGACTCTTAGTGACCACAGATATATTGTTATGGTAAGAGTCTTAAATAATTATGTCAAGTCCAGAATATATTTTGTTTTTTAATTTAATTTAATTGATGAACTTCCGCATGTATATATATGTAGGAAGGCATTTTGTCTACTCTAATAGCATGCAGAAGTTTAGGTATCCTCAGATCATATTGTATGGAAATTTCAACTGTGTCAACTACTGAAGTCAAAGCATGGTTTGAAAGTCAAAAACCTCTCCTAGCTTTGTCTTGGTCTGATCAGATCTATAATATAAAATCCACCAATTATTTCAGATTAGTTTCTGTAAAATAACTTTTAAACTTTTAAAAATAATATTGATAATATTGAAATAATATTGATCCTCTTAGCAAGATAGGACATCGTTTTTCAAGCTTTGCATTACTTGTTGCATACACATTTTAAAATGTTGTTTATATAACTGAATTTAACCGGGACAAGTTTGCAGATGTTCTACCATAAAATAGAACCGTTATCCTTTTTTTCTTACTTAGAGATGGTAGCAGCATGGAGGTACAAGTAGACATTGAATCGAAGCCTGCAAAATTCAGACACAACAGTGGGAGCAGCAGCATGGATGATGGTTGTGCTGCAGGCCGCAGTAATGCGGGTGGTTCTTCCGCCTGCTTGTCTGATAACAAATCAAGTGTCCCCAAGTGGCCCAAAGAAGCATCAGCAGGGAAAAAGTGCAAAGGTAAACTCAGAAAAAAGAATAGCACGAAGATAAATGAAACCCGAGAGGACATGGATGCTCAGTTGTTGGAGCAGCAAAGCACCAACTCCAGTGAATTTGACTCTCCCTCCCTCAGTGATAGTGTCCCATCTGTAGCTGACTCTCACTCAAGTCATTTTTCCGAGTTTAGTTGTTCTGACCTGGAGAGCATGAAAACCTCGTGCAGCCACGGCTCCAGCGATTATCACACCCGCTTTAATACTGTGAGCATTCTGCCAGAGGTCGAAAATGACCACTTAGAAAACTCCCCTCACCAGGGGGGCAGTTTGCTGTCTGTGCCAGTTGCTCCAAACTCAGAGGTTCCCCAGCTGAGTTACATTGCTGAAGAATGCATCTGCAAGGGGATTTCCAATAGTGCAGGTGTGAATACTGGTGAAACTCTGAAAGAAAGAAATAACAACCATTCACCCCAGGTTACGAAATTAAGCACTTCACTTCAGACGGAGATTTAAACCTTTTACGTGCTGCAGAAATGTATTTACCACTAAAGAGCCTTGCCAGGCCACTTTAAGAAGCAAGGCTTCAATGCAACTTACGTTTGGATATATGTCTCTATTAAGGCTTGCGTGGAACTATGTGAAGTGACATGAAGATTATAACAAGTGCATTACAATAAAACATTATATTGATGTTTTGTATTTTTGCCATAACTTTGCTGAAAGTCTGTATTTGGTGAACTTGAATGGGGAAAATTAGCCACTTGTAGGCTTCTTATAAAACCTCAGTATGGATTTCAGGTATACAGCAAAAAAACCAATCCCTGCTCAAAATGAGTTGCTGTAACCATACCAAAAAATCAGTTTTGATAATTTTGTGTGGAGAAGAATATCATTATGTTAAGTGATGATGGAACACATTCTTTAAGCAAGGTTATGACATATAGCATAACTTTAAATTAAAAAGAAATTGGTACTTGATATACAATAGGTAGCAAAGTGACGTCTCCTTATCAGAAAGTGGGGGTAATTTAATTATATTTGCAATTGACAGCAAAATAGAAGGTTTACAATGTAAGGTGTATAAAGTTTTTGTACAATGTTAAGAGCAATTAATTTGTTATCGTTGTAGAGAACCTGATACAGTCACCTTCACCAGGGGACTTCGGTTATGCTGTTTAATTCTTGGTGCCTTTGGAAAAGACTGGGTTTATAAGTGCCTGGTCTGATGATTTCACTGTTAAGTTTTCCAGAATGTTGTCAGTTGCCACCTTCTTGGAATCTAGAGGAAAACTGCAGCGAATCAACTAACTGTGGTAGATTAATAGGATTCATAATACTGAAGTATTAGCCTACCAAAGATTCACTCAGGCTTTTAGCAGATAACTTTTCTGACATCCTTTAGCAAATCACATGCACAGAAAAAAAGCACAGTGCAGAGCTTGCACATCTTTGAAAATGGGCTCTAAAAATGGCTGGCTTGCCGGGAGGGGTGTGCCACATGTCCTGCTTATGGTTCAGCTGAACACGAGTTGAAGCTCACTTAAGCGCCTGCACTGTTAAATGTTTGCCACACAAGTCATAATGATGTATGCTCTCCGCCCTTCAAGAGAGAGAGAGAGGAAAAAAAAGATTTTGGATTTTGGCACAGAAGCCTTCAATAATTAGGTTTTGTGTGTGTATGTGTGAATGAGGCATTTTTTTTTTTGTAAGTATTACCATTATGGTGCTACTGAAAACGTGAGAAGAAGGTTGTTATGGGCTGCAGCCATCTTCTCTGGCCTCCTTGATTATTTTCTTTAATCAGCTTATAACACTAGTGTCAGATACATTACTTGGTAATGCTTGTTATCATATTTGTATATTTGCTATTTTTTGTTTGCTCAATGGAGTGTGTAAACTACATACCTGAAATAAATGTCTGAATGCTATTTCACGGTCTTCTGTCCTTAGAACAAAGGGCTTTTTATGTTGCATTGTGCTGAATTACATTCTCCCCTCCAGAAGTCTTTCACATCTGCTTTATTGTTGTCGGAGAAGCAGAACTTCTCTACAAGAACCAGGCTTCCTATTGGAGAAGGACTGATCGTCGTACATAAGCTTTACAAAGTGAAAGGGCCCAGATTCCACCTTTTCCCAGTTAAAATTGTCTAGTGTTAATGATGTGAAGATGCCTTTTTAGATGTAACAGAGGATCACTACTTGGTTTGCCAAACCGAGTTGATCAATGCATCTACTTGTTATACAGTACTTTCCTATGAGTCTAAGAGGTGGAATTAATTGAATCTAGACTCACCATTCTATGTACATCACCAGCCTTTTCTTTGTGTACTTGAATTGAAATTTGGCTGCAGCGGGGAGACGATCTTCACTAGTTGCTCATATTTTCTGTTATAAAAGGTCCACCAGTCTTCTTTTATCTTATGTTTTATATTTGGTTGTCTTGATCTGGATAGTAATATTTTTCAGAACTTCCTTTGCTGTGATGAAAAAATGACCAGTCATATAATTTAATAATATAAAATCCTAAGTTTAACTTTTTAAATATCCTACCTAAATACATTTTTGTATCTTAATATACTAGGCTGCTGTCACATGTAATTTTATGCAAGTTTCATTTAGAATTCAGGCTTAATTATGATTTCTCTGTAACATCTCCATATCCAAAGAAATAACTGAATCGATCGAGTATTGTGAATTAAGAACTGTTTCATCAAAAAAATCCTTTAATTTGCATATGGAAGTAATTTACTCCACGCAACTAATTTAAATCAAATTAAGAAACAGCAAAAGCCATTGTTACACTTACAGGAAGTACCATTGGAATCATTAAAAGATGGACAAAAAGGCATTGATTTCTCTATGTAGCTGGAAGGCAGATGTTCAAAATCGTTCCTATTCTAAGAACTCCTCCCTTATATTCATGGATTCTGAGTTAAGTTAGGAGGACAAGGTAGTCCTCATTTAGTGAATCACAATTGGGTTAAGAACCTTAGTTGTTCAATGAAGTGGGAGCTAAGTGAAACTGCATTTGTGCTTATGAACTTACTTCAGATTTACTTCAGGTGTGCAAAAGATGTAAACATGAGTGATCACTGTTAGGGATACACCCTAGCAGGATCTGCAGGGCAGTCAGGCAAAATATGTGAGATAAACGTTTTTGTAGCTTACACTCAGTAAAACAGATACACAGTGCTAATTAAATAGTTTTTATTCCAGTAAGAGTTATAGCATAGTCAAACAGTCCATATATCATTCACTAGTTCAGTCCGTCCAGGGATTATTCAGTTGCAAATTTCAGTGTCGAAAAAGAGAGGTCAGAAAACTTACAAATATCAGTCCAGTAATATATCTCCTCGCAGTAGAGATATGAAGAAGTCAAAAACTCCTCTCTTCCTTCAGCAACTCAGCAGTAGGGGAAAACACTCAGCTAACAAACCATCAACCATCCAATCCAGTAATTGTCAGCAATCAATCAGGTTCTCTTGCTCCCTCTTATGGTGGTTTCACACCACACCCAAAATTACATGCTTTGCAGTTTTAAAGTGACACACACTTAAACTTACAATCATAGTTTATATATATTATTTTACCCAAACTACGTTAGGTAACCTATGTTATTCCTAACAATCACAAAATTACTTTTTCATCAGTTTGTAACTGAATAGTTGCTAAATGAGGCAGTTGCTCAATGAAGATTACCCATTGTTTAATTTTACTGTCTAAAATTACCAGCAAAAAAGCATCAGAAAAATGGAAGAAGAATATATAAAAATAACAAAACAGAAAGATTGAATAATGTGGATTTTTAATGTCCGCACTGATGAATTCTCTCTCCTTCTGCAGGATCAGACTGATAGGTCTATCATTCAGTGATCAGAATGGTATATCCTGGTAAGTTCTACAACTGTTTTCAATCATCAAAGACGGAGTTGTCAGGAAAGGAATATTCTACAATAGCACCTCTAGAGAGGGTCAGTAGAGATTATTGATGCGCCTCTAATAGACTCCAAGGCACAAAACTTTGTTAGAAATTTTACACTAAAAAGGCAGAGTTGCCTGCTTGCAAATTTCTAGGGAAATCAAGAAGCTTCAGCTGAATATATGACTCTCCCAAGCCATCTAGTTGGCTCCCAATCCAAATCTAAGATTTTATACAAGAAAATAAAATTGCAGCTTGCCATACCACTTTGCAGTCCCTACTTCTATTATGGCTGTGGCCAGCTCTGTACCAAGCCGCTCAGTTGATTTAATACATATTTGTAAACTATTTGGATGGAGGGTTAAAAAATAGAATCACATTTGCAGATAACAAAAATAAAGATACCAAACCCCTTAGAGTAGTGGTGGCTAACCTTTTTGGGCTCCTGTGCCGAAAACTGCACGCTCGTGTGCAAAGGCAATGTGCATAGGCCACCCCCGGACGACCCAGCGTATGCTGCATGTCTGCATATGCATGTGTCTCCTGCGCACCCCCATGTCTGGAACATGCGCGCCAGGTACCCAACAATCAGCAGGCGGCACGTGCCCATATGCAGCAAGGGTGGGATTTAAATTTTTAACAACTGGTTCTATGGCTGTGGCTTAGGTGGTAGGTGTGGCTTAAGTGGTGGGTGTGGCTTGGTCATGTGACTGGGTGGACATGGCTTGGTCATGTTATTGGCTGGGCGTGGCCAACTCAATATCACTCACATCAAGGCATGCATCTCCTCGTCTGGCCTCATGACTGGGGATGCTGCAACAGTCGTAAGTGTGAAAAATGGTCATAAGTCACTTTTTTCAGTGACATTGTAACTTTGAATGGTCACTCCACACGTGCAAAGTACCAGCAAAGGAGGGGAAACAAACTCCAGAGACGTTCCTGAAACAGGAAGTCTAGTCCTGCCAAGAATGTAATAAGGGTTAACGGAGAGGCAGTTTCTATAAGCAATACCAGAATGTTTCCTTCCTGCCTTCCTTACAGAATTAGGCCAGCAATTTCTTCTAACAACCGCTTCTCCGAACTGCTTAAAATGGTAACCGGTTCTAGTGAATAGGTGTGAACTGGTAGAATCCCACCCCTCATATGCAGTGGGGCTCTTCCAGGCAACCTCTCACGTGCCAGCTGAAGTGACTCTGTTCCACTTCTGGCACGCGTGCCATAGGTTAGCCATCACAGCCTTTGAGGAAACTCAGGATTTAAAAGAACTTTGACAAGCTGAGACAATGGGTAGAATCCAGCAAGATGAATTTCAACGGGCAAAAGAAAATATATCTTGTCTTTGGAGGAGAAAAAAGACAAGAATATGAAATGGCAGAAATCATACCAGGCAGCTGTATATAGTGTGCAATGCAGGGCTGTCAATGCATCACGCGCTGGCCACGCCCTCGCCTGGTTTAGCAAAGTGGGGGGGAGTCCTGATATGTCACGTGATACCACCATGACAATGTGAGTTTGACACCCATGCAATAAGGGATCTCGGTTTCCTGGTGGATCACAAGCTGAACATGAGCCAATAGAATGATGCAGCTTCCCAAAAGGGAAATGAAATCCAAGCTTGTCTCTTAGTGAAGTATAATAGAAAGATCAAGAAAAGACATTGTTCTTTCAATTTGTGTTATTCCCTGCTTAAAATAGTAACCAGTTTAGAACAGTGGTCGCTAACTGGTGGGCCATGAGAAAATTTTGGTGGGTCGCAGAGAAATCTCATCGCCAGAGCACTCCCCCAAAGCAATTAATCCAGGCTGTGCAGAAACACAAGGCTGCTCAGCCCACATGGCCCCCAGGAACCCTCCCCGCCCACTCACTCCTTATCCGGCAAACTTGCCTGCTAAACTGCTATTTTTCCTTTTTCCGACCATCATCTGTTCTGCTGTGCCTGGAGATTTAGATTAGCTAGGAAGCAGGAAATAGTTGGGTTTCTTGCTTTCTAGCTAAGCACAGCTGAAACTCCCTTAGGACTGAAGGTTTGCTTGCAAGCAAATTCAGTGCAGACTCACGGCAAGCAAATTTGAGAGACTGAGCTAGCCAATGGCAGATAGATAGATCACTGAATGATTCTGTGAGCAACTCAATCTGCTTGCTTTGCCTGATTTTGGGTAAAAGTTGCTCTTTTTTAAAATAAATTCAATATTTACATGCATGGTGTGTTGTGAGTTAATTTTGTGAGTTTGCTTGCTAGCAACTTTTATGAGTTTGCTTGCAAGCAAATTTTATGTAACAGACTGAGCTAGCCAATGGCAGATAGATAGATCTCTGAATGAATCTGTGATTCTGTGAGCAACTCAATCTGCCTGCTTGGCCTGATTTTGGGTAAAAGTTTCTCTTTTTTTATAAAAACATCAATAGTTATATAAATATTTATAATATTTACATTCAAGCCATGTCCAGCCAGTCACATGACCACCAAGCCACACCCACAAATTAGGCCATGACCACAGAACTGGTTAGTGGTCCCTGGAATCAAAAATTATGAGTTTGGTGGTCCCTGAGGTCCAAAAGGTTGGCGACTCCTGGTTTAGAACACTGAAATTTAGAATGCACATTAACAAAGTAGAACATGTTTGAATTACAAGAAAGCAGATTTTGTATGGACATAAGATTTTCTTTATGGATGATGGAATAGACTTTCTGGAAGGTGGTAGGCTGTTTCGCATTGAATGGAGGTTGGATGATCTTATCTCTTGGACATGCTGTAGTAGTGGATTCCTACACAGGGAATGACTTTGGACTCCATAGTCTCCAAGATTCCTTCGAAATATTCTAGCATTAATACAGGGATTGATGTGAAGGTGCAGGTTGTGTGATCATCCTCTGTAAGTGGATTTTTCTCTTAGTGTAAGCTTCATGAGAATTGGGCTTCTGGTGACGCTTGTGATTCCTTCCTATTTCCCTCATTGAACACAAAGGCCGAGAATGAAAAGGATTGCAAGGTAGGCAGAGACAGCAAAAGGACAGGATCCACTTGACCTTCTGGATATGACCTCCTTGCCTTTATTCCTGTTCAATTTCGGTCCCTCTTGCATGCCACTTGTAATACCATTCAGGTGCTTGTGATTGACAGAGTCTGCATTTCTGGGCCTTCTGTAGTGCTGGTTCTTTGGCATTTATGTTTCTGCACATCTCCCACACACTTTACAAGTTGCCTGGGCTTGCCCACATGGCTTCTGCAATTTTTCTGATTGCCAGAATATCTACCTACTCGATATATACTTGGAATGTATCCTACTCCTTGGCCAGAGTTTTTTTTTCCCCTGGTCCTCAAAGTATGGACAGGAATAAAACTGTTCTTCCTTTTAGGAGGCAGAACTGGATATGGGGCAGAAAATAAGCGTTTAATGCACAATCCAACTAAAAAAGATATCATTAATGCTTTTCCATTGGCTTCTTTTGGTGACCAAGAATTGTTTGGCTAAGGATTAGCATGTAATTAGACACACCTTGCTTTGCACAGTGCCTCCTGGTGTTCAAGTAATATCCCATCCTGATTGTGTAGGTTCACTTCACAGCAAATGTAAGAAGCCACAATCATTTGTCAATCAGAAGCAGGCAATAGCACATTCTTATTTTAAAAGTATTTAATATTTCTATGTGACAATCTGATATAATTTGAAAAAGCCTTTTAGGTACTAAGAAGAAAGTCTTATTCTGAATATATTGCAGATGAAAACTGACCAATTGAATTACTTCATTACCTCACCCCATTGCAACAAAGTTCCTTCCTCAGAATTGTTCTAAAACTTCCCTCTCCAGTACAATACAAATATATAGTCGTCTGTTATCAGATAAGAAAGTCAATATATCGTTTGCAAAGTTTGGAAAACAGCCATGAATATCGGTAAAGAACTGGCTTCCCATTGACAAATTTTCACCCATTTGGTATTTATTAGGCTATTATTTATTCCTAGTTTTGATCTCTAACTTGATATCATAAAATGTACATACCTTTATTTTCATTAAAACAAGCTTATACTTTTGTGTGACTGCAGGAGCCAAGCTAGGAAAGAAGCTGCTGCCATATTTGGAAAAGCTTGTGTATGTTCTTCGTTCTTATGTTCTTACTCTACCTTTGATGAAATGGAAGAACACGTGACTTTGTGCTAGCAAGCATTGAGCCTGAATTTGTAGCTCTTGATGTGGATGTTTTAAGCAATTATCCATCCCATGCTTTTCAAAGATATACATTAAAACTGCTGTTCTGAAAATATCTTGGAATGGTAAGGTCATGTTTTGAGACCGAATACAGGTTTGGCTCCTAACTTATTCTTGCTTCAATGCTGTATTTGAACAGCCAGTATTTATATTTTACATTATCTAAAGAATCTTGTGGTTTGTGGTTGGGGGTGTGCATACTTTGAAAACAATTGGGAGGACAGATCTCATGTGAGCACAGCAACATTCTGCAATTAACAGAGCCATTCTACTTTCCAGCTTCTCCTGCAGCTATTGTGAGGAGTCAACATCAACTTTAACGAATCAACTCCTTAAAGCAGTGTTTTTCGACTTCAAGATGCATGGACTCCAACTTTCAGAATTCGCCAGCCAGCATGCTGGGGAAGAGTTCTGGGAGTTCTGGGAGCTGGAATCCATGCAGCTTAAAGTTGATGGTTGAGAAATGCTGCATTTTTTTTAAAAAAAGTGAAATGCTAAAATTTGGATATTCTGATATGTAAATGAAATTTTTTGTACTGTAAACTATATGGAAAATATTATATTCTCTCTCCTTCTCCGGCATTCACAGAAAAGAAGCAAAGTTCTGTTCCAACTGATTAAAAATGCTATGTTCACGTACTCAAATTAGTCCAGCAAATCAAGGAATGAGTAATGGATCATGTTGGATATTACTGCTTAGTTGTTTCCGAAACCATTTTTCTCTGGAGTTTGATACTTTACTGAACTCTGTTTGAAAGATTTAGGGGTGCTCTTAGGACAAAAATATTATTTTTCAAAGCAAATCAGGACTTCTTCAGTGAAATCTCTCCCTGGAAAGCGGATGTGACAGCTGCAGCAAAGACCAAAGAACCAATGAGTAGACTGGTTTTTTGGAACCTCTCTAGACAAGGGAAAGATAGCTTGCCCACATGTGCTCTGGAAGACTCCTTCCAGGAAACCTCAGGACAGAGTTCCATAGATTTCACCATCAGGAAATGTTGGGATTAGCCAACTTGCTCATACATGGTGGGGATTTTGAAAGGATACTAAGTTTCTAACTTGACTACTAATAAAAATTGCCTATTTAACTATGTTAATACCATTACACATCTTTGGAAAGACAAGGTTCATAAGCCACAATGTTTAAATATACGGAACATCAAAGATGCAGTGATTTAAGAGAGACTATTATAGCCAAGGCCAAGTATGAAGTAATCTTAATACTCCATAATGTGTTTTTATACTAGATTATGAAGGTTTCCCTAAAACAGAGGTGGGGAACTATGGCCCCTTTATGATTTATGGACTTCAACTCCTAGAAGTTCTGAGCCAGCATGGCTGGATCAGGAATTCTGGGAGTTGAAGTCCACAAGTCATAAAAGGGCCATAGTTTCCCACTCTTGCCCTAAAAGATAAACCGCAAACAGAACTGGTACTATCAAATTAAATTGACCACATTTGTGAAGCGAAGTTATATTTTAATCCATAAACACCAAAACTAGTTTTTATGTTAGACACCAAATGTTCACCTCAGGAACTGAATAACCAGTATCCTACAAAAACATTTTGGGGCATTCTGGAAAACAAAGCTGTTAACAAATAATAAAAATATGCCCAATATCTTTCTTTTAAAATATTTATTCATTACAAGAATTTTTATATCAATCAGCTGAATACCTTATTACAAAAATTATTCAAGGGAAACAATTCAAGTGGATAAGCTCTTAACAATTTTTTTTACAGTTTCTAATCCAAGAAAACATTTAATTCAACATAGTAGAAGTATCAAATGTACTTCTGTACTATTTCCTGTAATCTAATTTGGATTGCATACTATTAATAAATTAGTTTTTAGTTTAAAATATAATAACTCTATTGCTTCAAAACATTTTTTACACATTTTGCTTCATCTTTGCTGTTCTGTAGTAAGTCACTTGGCTCGGAGAAATCTCCCTTTGTATATTCAATGGAAGCAATTCGGAGAAGATTCAAATATCCCCTGTTGCAACCAGCTGCTAAAAGGTATACACATTCAGAACCCTCCAGCATGTTATTTCTGTAAGAGGAAGATGAGAAATGACTCGGGGGTTTTCTTGAAAGCCATACTCAACGTAAGCCAGATGAATTTGGAACAGCAAATGAAAGCAAAATTGAAGTTTACACACACTGTAGTTTGGTATGCATAGTGTCCATTTTTTTCCACAACTGCAAAAACAAAGTGCTATCACCGTATTACACTTTCATAGTCTTTCAACACATTCCCTCTTAAAATAAGATTCATAATTCCTTATTTAATGGGGCTTATTCAAAGACATTTTCATTGCAGTGTCAGTGGTTTTTCTTTAGAAAAATCCCCTATACTAGAAGAAAATGAAACAAAAACAGCAAATCAAAAGCAGCTACATATAACAGTTTGAACACTTTAATTATTATTATTTAATGTTCCTTCATAAAAGGAACATTTTGGACTATTTCCTTGGCCTTCTGGGACTGTGGTCCTGGTGGCTCACGGTTCTCTTCCTTAAGCAAATAGAGCATTTTTCATTCTTTTTTTCTTTCCTATCGTTCAAACCCCAGTCCTACTTCTAATCTATTTGTTGTTATAAGTGCAGGTGCCAAAGAGTAGGGAACATTCCCATATATAAAATAATTGTAGAATAAAACATACAACAAGGTTAAGGAGCTGATTATTAAAGTGTATGTAAATATGCAGCATATTAAATAACCCAGATAAAACTATTTGTTTGCTTTCCCTTGGTATAAGATGTACATATACACTACACATATTTGCATGGAGTAATTAAAAAAACTGTTCAGAGTTCAAAGTTTTTCTTAAGATTCTCGAGATCCTTCGAAGAAAATTGTTGGTCTTGCATGTTGGAAAGAGAAGCCAGTAGCTGCTGAACTTGTTCTATTTCATTCTTACCAAGAAGTGTCTGCACCACCTGAGAAAAAAAAGTATGTGCACTTAATTAGTACGTAAAATAACATTTACCTAAATATTAGTGTTATTTGAAAAATAATTTACACTGAAGACATTAATTAATCTGCTCACCTTAAATCTTTCAGCTTTACTTAGGTAGAAAAGATGTTGGTATATCAGATTAGGGTTTCGGCTGAACACATCAGACTGCAGAGCTTGAATAATGATGAGAAAAATATCTCCTTCTAGTTTGTTGCTTAGTAGTTCCGGCAAATCTTTTGGCTCAATCATTGCTAAGAGCTCTGCACAAGCAGCAATGTCCTTACTGGCATTCAAGATGTTGATTATCTGCCCAAATTCATAGGCATTTGATGGCTTAGAAATGTTTAGCTTTTCTGAACTATTCAATGGCATGGTTATTCCATGCTCCTCTTTGGCATTGCAAGGGTTTATTGCTGTATTCTTTGAAGAACATGTCGCTGTATCATCTTCCTCTTGTTCATTTACCTTCACAAAGAAATAACCATGCATTTGGTCAGCCTTGATAAATATATGCAATATAAAAAATTTCATTTATAATGATCATATTTTCATTTATTCCTTCCTAGATTATTTTCCAAAATGTTCCTATTCATATATATAACTTGCAGCTGATCACAGAGAGGCTGATTGAGTTATTCTCTAGTATCTAATTCTCAGTCGGTTGCTAATTTCATGGGAAAGATCCATATGATTTGTCTCAAGTGACTTGGTAGTAAGTCACTTATAGTTCACTTTTCTCCAACAATGTCAATCAAGGAGGCTAGCAGTAACAATAAAAATACCAAAATAACTGAAAGTACAACTAAACATTAAAAATAAATATAGCATCCAGAAAACACTAAACCAGAAAATAAGCTCAGCATTTTTTTGTTGCAAAGTCCTCCTCAGAGGAATAGACAGAGCATTAAGAGAGATCAAGGTCTGGGTGAAATCATCAGAGGCCATCTATTATTTTCTTCTGAATTTGTTTCTCTAAGGAATAAAATAAAAACCCCACCCATTTCTAAGATGTTAAATCTTAGGTAGATTGCTAAATTAGAATATGATACTTCAAAAGGTCTGGTTCCCAACTCATAAAAAGTACCATCAGCTTTGAATCATGCCAGAACAGAAACAAACTAGTGGCTATTTTCATCACAGAGTATAAGCTGTTTATAATTAGCTCTAGTTAGGAGTTGAGCCTGCATTACATATAAACAGAAGTTTCTCTAGGGCAGTCTTGCATGCAGTATGTTAAAATAGTACAAATGGGATGTAAGCAGGATCTATACATTGTGACTGAATCTGATATGCTCAGGAACACCCTAGTCTTAGTGGTTGATACCTGAAACCCATAAAAATTGGGTATCTGGACACAGACTCCTTAACTATGAAAGAGGGTTCAAGAGAAATACAACATCCTCCAGCAGAAGTAGAATCCTTCATGACCAGCTACATGCAAATTCTGTCTTATTTGGATTAGAATGCAGTTCGTTTGCATTCATCTTGTCCATTATTAATCTCAGCCATTGCAGTAAAGTTTAGAATAGCCTCACTAATTTTGGTAAAAAAACATAGAAGTGGTTGCGGTCTTCATATGAGGAATAGCAAATCCAAAATGTAATTTACCAATTTCAATCTACATTAAACAATATCAGGGAAACAAAGGCAAGGTACTATCCTGAGAGACATCACAGACCAATGGCTAATGTTTTGAAGTGATATCTTTCAGCACTTTTCTGAAATCAACTTGAAGAAGGGCAGTTTCTAACTTGCATCTTATCAAGGTCATGAATCAACTATTAGTATTTCCAACCAGGAATGCCTTCCAGCTCTGTCCAGCTTTCTATCACTGAAAATTTGTTTTGAGATTATTTCATAATAGAAAATGTATCAGCTAAAAATAAAGCTACAAATAAAATCTAACAATTAAATCTAAAGCTTTTAAGCCTGTGGTTTTTCTAAAATACCTCTTGGATTTCAATTTTTTTCCTTTGCTTCGGCTGATTGTTGGCTGTAAATTCACATCTAACTTTAAATAGTTGAGTTGTTTCATTCAGTTCCTTCTGTGCTTCACCAATACTGGAATCAATTAAAAGAACTTTATTCAGATCTTCAATACTAGCTTCATAGTTCTGAAAGTTAGAAAAATCAATCATTGGCTTAAATAAGAAATCGTTGGAAAAGTTACAATATTTACTTATAGTCAGAAAAATAACCTATTCTTACTTTCATGTTTTCTATTTTTTTCCCAACATTTTCTAAATGTTACTATATTTATAGCTATTTGCTGGACTAATCTTTAATCCAGCAGGGACATTCTTATGTTCTTAAGGAGTCAATTACTGTGGTAAATTATTGCTGTACAAGCTTTTGTTATCAAAGTAAGGAAGAAGCTACGTATCTCAGTTCTTACCAAGACCTCATGTAATTTACAAAAACATATACCAGGTCCTTTGGCAAATATATAAAATATTCATTTTATTTAAGATAGGGTACCAACAATCATTCCAAAAGCAATATAGTCCTTGACTTATGACTATTCACTTAACAATGATTTGAATTAACAGAAGTCTGCAAAAAAAAAGTCATTTATGAACTGAGTTCAAACTTATGACTGTTGCTCTGCCCCCTTGGTGACAATTGCAATTTGAGCACTTGGCAACTGGTATGCATTTATCACTGATTGTAGCATCCTACTGTCATGTGACAGTGATTTGCAATTTTTTTTGCTAGTTTTGCCAGGAAAAGGGCCATTAGCTAAGCTGGATTTGTACTTACAGCACAACCACATGACTCGACATACAACCATAACAACTTATAACATAAATTCCATTCCCAGTTGTGGTCGTAAATTGAGAACTAAGTGTAGAGCAGCACTTAAAAATACGAAACAAGAAACAATTATTTTGCAAATACCCTGTCACTATGCTCTCTTTCCTTGGCTTTTACATCGTTAGAATTATTATCTAGCATGCCTCTGATTACACTCCAGAGGTTCCCTCTGGATTCCAGCTGCCACAGTTGCAGGAATTCTCCATATATAAATCAGCCTTTTGGTTTCTGCTGAACACCAGCATTTGAACCTGTAATGGCTGTTCTCTTAAATCTGTGCTGCCAATGAAAGGACAAGTCCTGGAAATATTTGATGTTACCTGCTTTCCAATACTTCCTTAAAAATGTTTCCCATCTGGTTTATATTAAGTTCTTACTATTTGGGTCATCCCAGTTCAGCATTTTTCATTTTGACATCCTTAAGCCTTTAAGCTAAGTTTCTTTATTATATAATAATGTGTTTCATGCATCATTTTTATTTTCATAGCCATTATACACATCTGATGAGTAACATCTACAGGTTAACAAATACGATAGTTTTGATCTTACCTCTAAACCTTTGTATGCTAGAGCTCTTCTATATAAAGCCTTGATATTAGAGCCATCTATCTGAAGAACATAATCACAATCCTTCTTGGCTTCTTCATACTTAAGTAGTTTCAAGAAACAAAGAGCCCTAATGTAGTATAATCAGAAACAAGAGAGTGTAAGATCATGTTACAACACTCAAAACAGCTTGGTGCTTATGCTCCTATTATTTTTTATAGTCATTTGCTCAGCTCTGTAGAGTATTTCCAGTTGAACAAATTATGGACCCCAAATGCCACATTGGTATCGATATATGGTGCTATAGTAATATAAATATACAATATTGCAATGGTGCAATGTAATAGATAATGTATTACGTGGAGAATGAAGTCCATTAAATGGGTTTGGGCTAATTATTATCTCTTCACTGACCTTATAAGGGATATTAAAATGGTAAAATGCATATTACTTGGAGCTCCTGCAGGAAATATAAATATGGTATCTACAAAATGGGAATTATATTTCATTTCACAAAAATGACTACTACAAACAGATTTTCTCCACTAAAACTAATGATAACTGCCTAACAATTTGAACAAAGCTGGCTAGGATCTGGATGCAGTATTAGGTAACTTGTTACCTGTTAGTGTAGATAGTCTTTTCCTGTGAATTTAGCTTTATGCACTCGTCGTATTTCATTAGTGCTTCTTCATATTTACCCTTTTTCACAAATTCATTTCCTTGATTCTTAAATAGCTTGAACTTCTCTTCTGCAGTATCACCTATTTGTAAATAAAGATAAACAGATGCCCATTCAATAATAGTCAGAATAAAAGAATATTTATACCTATTCAGAAAGCAAGTTCAAATATTTACAGAACATTCCTTTCATTACTTAAATAAGGGAATTTCCACATGCTCTTATCAGTGCGGCTAACCTTATGATCTCACAAGACTTCTTTGCCACCAAAAAGTCAAAACTTAAGTACCACACTTTCAAGATATATAAAACACATAGCACTCACCCCA